ACGTCCCGCCCCAGGCTCCGCCCCAGAGCCCGCCGCGCCCATCCCCAGGCTCCGCCCCCCCGCCGTCGCCCCGCCCCCGCGTCACCGCCCCCTCTCTTTGAGCTGGGCGTGTGGGACACCAAGTGCTGCCCTCCGACCGAACGCACTACTTTTACAAAGCCTAGGAAGGGATCACACCCCTATCAAGAGGGACAGCCAAGCTGGGATCCCCGATCCGTCCCTCCCTATTTAACCCACTTCCGGTGTAGCATCCCTCTAACTCCTTCCCTTCGCCTCCAGGGCTCCCCGGGCACCAGTGCCCGGATCAAAGCTCACTGTTCCAAACTCGTGCGTTTCATCCAGCCAAGCCCGCGTTATGCAGTCTTACCCTCTTTCTCTGCCTCTCTGGTACTTCCCTCAAAGGAAAAATCTGGCAGAAACGAGTCCCCTAAGTTCTTAAGGTTTTGTAGGACTCATTTCCACATCTTAGAAGTAATTGTTTCTGTTTATTGAGCATTTATCTGCTCAGACCTGGCCATTTTGCATGCTTTTATCTTCTTTATCCCGGACTGCAAGTCCTACTGGGGACTTCCCCTGTTTAACATGTGACTCTAGAACTCCAGGAAGGGAAATCACTGCTCAAGGTCACAGAGCAGAGGGTAGTAAGTGGCAGGGACAGGCAGGATTCAAACCTGAACTTTATAGTACATACTCTTTTTTTGTTTGTTTACTGTTAGGATATTTTATTTAATCATTTTCTTTACAACTGAAACTCTGGGATTTAAAATTAACATCCTTGCCCATGAGTTTCTTGTAGATACCAGAAGTTTCTACCTTGTGTTCCTCCTTGTTCTGTTGCCCTTTGTCCAGGTGAACTCTGATGAGCTGGCTGCTGTTCAGCCACTTGGCGTGAGAAACGTGCTCACCTGTCCAAGGCCAAAGAAGGGACATGGAGACACAAGATGAGGGGAAGCAAGACTTTTATGTGTTCTAGCAAGATCCGGCGTCTGACGGGTAGGCATGCCCAAATCAGTTACAACAAGCATTTTAGTCCCTAGTACAGAAGTCCTTTCCCCAGTTCTTCATTGGTTGAGTACAGTGGGTGTATAATCTTCCCAGAAGGCGCCTAAATTTTATTATTCCCTTATTAGGTATTAAGATGCAGGCTCTGGGGACCAGCAGGTGGCATGGTGATTTAGGCACTGGACTCCCACATGGCCCGCTGTGTTTCAACTCCTGGGCCTGGTGGCTTGCTTTCTTGCTTTCCCTTTCTGTCTCTCTGTGTGGCTCTCTCTGATCAAATTAAAGTAAATGAATGCATAAATAAAATTAAATAAATAATTATCTTAAAAAAAAAAAAAAGATGTAAGCTCTGGACCAGCTCAATAAAAAGGCCTGCCCAATGTCCCGGGGGAGGAGGAAGAAACCGGAAGTAAAGAGGGGCAAAGGGCTGGTGACCAACCACCATCTTGAGAAGTCATTTCTTGTGTTTGGGTTGTGTTTGTTTAGGAGCTTTGGGGGAATGTGTACTTTCTGAGTTTGCATCTTAAAAAAAAAAAAAAGATGTAAGCTCTGGACCAGCTCAATAAAAAGGCCTGCCCAATGTCCCGGGGGAGGAGGAAGAAACCGGAAGTAAAGAGGGGCAAAGGGCTGGTGACCAACCACCATCTTGAGAAGTCATTTCTTGTGTTTGGGTTGTGTTTGTTTAGGAGCTTTGGGGGAATGTGTACTTTCTGAGTTTGCCACATCCACAAGCTGGTTAAGCAACTTTTGCTAAGTTATTCTTGAAAATTAATCATTTAAGGCTATTTTTTACACTCAGGAAGACCAAGTCCTTCAGGATTGCACTGGGCATGGCTGTCAGAGTTCAGCTCCTGGGATGCTTTTGCTTGTTTTTCCTGCGGCTTTTTCAAGTCGGCATAGGCAGAATTGTCTTCTGATCAATAAAGATCACGTGCTTGGGACCAGCAGATGCCATAATGTTTACATGGCTGGATTTCCACAGGGTTGACCACAGTTTGAGTCCTGGACCTGGTGACTTAAAATTCATACCAGGTGCATGTGCATGCATACCCAAAATCCTGAGAGGAGAATGGAAAAGAAGGGATTATGGTGTGGTCACCCCCCAAGGGGTGATTTCTTGTTTTCTGTCTCTCTGTCTCTCTCTGGAGAGCACATATGCCCTATAGCAAAAATCACTCTTAAAAAAAAATTATAAAAATAAAGACTGTGTGCTTCCCATTGAACTTTTTCTCGTTTGTGTACTAACCGCATTTGAATTTTCTGGAAGGACTTCAGTTGAGGGACAGAAACAAAGATTACGATAGCTTTACGACCACCGCCAACTTCAGTTTCCTTGGCTGTGATGATGTTCATCTCCCTGAGCTGTGCCTTCAGGTCCAAGTTCACCTCCAGCCCTAGCAGAGCCTGAGAGATGCCTGACTCGAACTTGTCTGGCTTCTCGCCATTGGTCTTCATGATCTTGGCTCTCAAGCCAAACAAGCCTGTTCATGGTGAATGCTGGCTGAGGAAGGGCAGTACATACTCTTAACCAGGAGTTCACCTTAGAATGTAACTCTCAGGGACAAGCGGGTGGGATGATGGCTAAGTACTGGACACTCACACATGGCCAACTGTGGTTCGACTCCTAGACTTGGTGGCTTGCTTTCTCCCTTTCTCTCTCTCTCTCTCTCTGTCTCTCTCTGGTCAAATTAAAATACGTGAATGAATAAATAAAATTTTAAAAATTAAAATTAAAAAAGCCTTTTTAAAAAAAAGTAATGTAACTCTCATGCAAGCAAAACCTCCAGGGCTAGCAGGTGACATGGTGGTTAAGATGTTGGGCTACGTGGTTCGAGTCCCAGACCCAGCAGTTTAAAAATCATGCTGGGTTTGTGTGCACGTGTGCCCAAAAATCCTGAGAGGAGGAAGAAGGAGGAGGTATTGCACTGTGACTATCCTCCCTGGGAGGAGGGGTGACTTCTCACTTTCTCTCTCTCTGTCTCTCTCCAGCTAGCACACTTGCCCTATAGCAAAACTCTTAAAAAAAAAAAAAAACTGAGCTCCATTCATTCATTTATTCCACATGAGAGCCTGCGTGTGCTCTGTGCAGATACAGAAAATACAGAGGTGAACAAAACAGATGAAACCCCCCCCCGTCCTTCAGATCTTATGTTCCAGTGGTAGAAGGCACACCAAAAACAATATAAACAAATAAAAGATACTGTTAAATTAAAAAGCCATAGTTTTGGGCTAAGTTCCTGCTCTGGGCCCCAATAGACCAAACCAAAATGGAGTTATTCATGCTTAAAAGCTACATCATCAAATTGAAACTTTAAGGAAGCTAATAGGTCTCAAAACAGACCGATTTTTCTTTAAAACAGGAGACTCAGGTTACCTGAATCAACAGTATAAGGAAATCAAACTTAGCCACATTTTGCAACTATCTTAGGAATGTGCACCTGAAACAGCTCAAGATACTACCAACAGTCATTGGACTTTTCTGTTTTATGAAAACCCTTATTGTGCAAAAATATTCCTTCTTGGGGCCAGCTGATACGATGGTGATTAAGGTGTCTGAATCCCACATGGCCCCCTGAGAGGTTCAAATCTCGTATCTAGTGGGTTGAAAAACGTACCAGGCACGTGTGCACACCTGCCCAAAATCCCAAAAGGAGAATGGAAGAGACTGTAGCAAGGCCATCCCCCTTGGAGCGTGAGAGGGTGAGGGGATGATTTCTCTCTCTCTTGCTCTCCTTTTCTCTCTCTCCCCAGTGATCACACATGCCCTAGAGCAAATTTTTTTTAAAAAAGAAAAGAAAGTCATTCCTCCTTTACCTTCCAACTTCCTATCTCCACACCTTAAGTTTAGGCAAAGTCACTCCAGTGGATCACAAGGTCCTTCTACTCCCCTTACCATGGCATTTCGCCAGTCACTGGTGTAAAAGACTCAGCAACTCCCTCTCCCATTCATGACTGTTGCCTTTAAAATCACTGAAATCTGTAAGATCTCTGCACATGTTTTTCTTCTTTAAAATATTATTTTATTTAACTTTATTTAATTTGAACAGAGAGGGACAGAGTGAGAGTGTGTGTGTGAGAGAGAGAGAGAGAGGAAAGTGAGAAAGCAAGCCACCAGGTCCAGAACTCAAATCGTGGTCAGCCACATAGGAGTCCAGCGTCCTCAATCACCACAACACCTGCCAGCCCCTGCACACTTTTTTTCAAAACAACTCAGACTCTCTAGTGCCCAGGAGATTGTCCTAAACCTGGCTCACATCAGTTCTTTTGCTTTACTTACTTTGCCACAGTCTTCCTTTTTAGGAAAACTATGTCATATGTTAGTGATAAATACAAACAAGAAAAATTAAAATGTGACATCTCTTTCTTCATATCCCCAAGGGGCCTGTCTCATTGGCTCAAGAATACCTCAGTAACTTGTATCCCTTGCCCCCTTCCCTCCTCCATACTATCCTTTAAGGTAAGTCCTGGAATAGTCTAGCTGGGGTGGGCCCCCTTTACGGTAAACAGAATTAAAGAGTTCTGGGTTCCAGGTCTGGGCAAGTCCGTGCCTCTATCCGAGCCTCAGTCTCCCCATCAGTACATGGAGGAGTTGGACTGAAAAGGATCCCTAAGGTCCCTTCCACTCTGACGCTCCAGGATTCTATGAATAGGGTTGAAGTGAACAGGGACCAGCGATTGCTTCCCCATCCTAGCAACTGTCGCTAGGTGAGGGCCCTCTCCTGGGAGGAGTGAAAACCCTCCCTGTATCGGGAGGTCTTTCCAGCATCCCGTCGTGCATAGCGACTTTGCCTAGCTAGGAGGCACGTTTTGGCCTCTTTGGTCACGATCAACCCTTTGGATCCAGCCAAAGAGCGAGCCTCGTTCCTATAGCAACCGCGCCAGGTCCACGCGCAGACGGCGGGTGGCAAGGGTCAAAACAGATTCGCAAAATAGTCTCTGTCGACCGGTTCAATCTGCTCCCTCCGCGCACCGGTCCTTTAAGTGTCACGTGACTCCCCGCGGGCTCCTCCCCGCCTCTTTCCCCTCCCCAGGCCCCGGCGAGCGCTGGTGTGGACGGGAAGCTCCCGGTCCGGCGGACTAACTGGAGCACGGACGCTGCAGCCGGTTGGGCCGGTGCCCTTTCCCGGTAACTCCTTCCTGGCGTGACGCGCGGAGCCGCGGACGCAGCAGGACCGAGCTGGCTCAGGCTTCTCCCGTCAGTTCCCTCTTGTTCCTAGTCCTGCTGGGCCCGGGGGGAACCGGGAGCCGACAGGGCCGGGCCCAGGGCTCTCGGAGGGCGGCGCGGTAGGGGGCCGTCTCCTGGAGAGGCGCGATCTCCAGCGGGAGCTCGAGACCTGGTGCGTGTCTCTGGGAGCCGCTGCCGGGTCCTAGGGATCTTGCCCGGAGGATGGGCAATCTACCTGTTGGACAGGTGGTTTCCTGCCCTGAGGCCAGCACCGTCCAGCTGGAGACTGTCACCCCAAGAACTTCAGATCCCTCGCGGGGACTGACGTGGTCGAATAAAGCAGCGAAGTACTGCATGATGTAAACATACTAGTGCTGGCTACCTCCTATTGACTGTTGGCTCTGGTAGTAAACCCTTTACGTACATTCAGACCCTCTTGATCCTTCATGGTAGTGTTTCATGAATATGGACACTGATCAGGGTTTAGCAAGTTGAAGTAACTTGCCAAAGATCATAAAGCGGTGAGGACGGGTCCCAGGGTTAGTCTGATTCCCAAGCCCATGTGCATATCCAGTAGCTATCAATGCATAGCCTTAAGGTTTTTTGTAGAACCGAATATTAATAGGATGCCTTAACAAGGAAGAAACTGGTCTGTTTTAGGATTTTCAGTCAACATGCATGCAGTTCGAAACAGTGGTCCTAAGAGTAGTCAACTTTGTGAGGAATTCCAGGTATCATTAGACTTGCACTTGTCAAAACAGCTCTTGCATAAGGCGTCATATTAGACACTTGAATCTTCAAACTTGATTAACTTACAGGAAATCAAGGTAAACATCACCCTTGGAAAAACATTGGTCTAGCAAAGATCATAATCCTGGAGTGTAGACATCTATTGTGCAATATCACTTTACCTTATGCGTTAACTATCCAAGATTTTTTCTAATACCCACAGTGAACTCACCAGAGTTGGAGCTTAAAACATTTTAAGTCCATGCCTGTTCTTCAGCCTTTGCCATTAACTCTCCCTAATGGGGAAAACTAAAGTTTTTCTTGCCAATTTTTGTGGTCTGAGGTTTCCATTTACAGTGACCATGTTGCTAATGATTAAGTTGAAGAGCATCTTATTTTCTTGCTTGTACATAGTGAGAAATAAATAGAATTGAGGCATACTAAGTCTTACTGCAGTTTTTTAAACAATAGCATAATTTAACTTTCATGTGTGTTCTTATTCAATGCCCAAGAATGCCACAACTGTCTCATTTTGTAGTTTAAAACCTGTTAACTCTTATATCATGAGTTTATTTAACCTATTCTCAGTGAAATATTCTTAAACCATTTCAGTTTAAACTGTTACTCCCAAAATAAACAAAATCATGCATTTGAAATAGTCACCCTGATTATTGTATTTATGTTTTCTCATATTCACTTAATATTTCTCATCTCCTTCATTTTTAGTCATTTCTCAAACCTTTTTAAAGAATTCTAGAGTTGCTCTTAATTATTGCTCACCTTTTCATCTATAATAGTTCTTATCTGTGATATTCAAAAGTGGTAGCAAGAGTGTTGATTTTAAAAGATGTGGTTGACCAGCTTGACACTTTTCCTGTAAAATATCTTTTGTTTGTTTTGTTTTTCATCTACAATATCTTTACCTACAAGGCAAGACTGTCCAGGATTCTGCCACTGACACTTACTGCCTCTTCACTCATTTCAGCTCTGGAAAGGAAGAGAAATGGAAGTGAAAAAGTTGAGCGTTTCCTGGCAGTTCTTGATAGTTCTGGTTCTGATCCTGCAAATTCTGTCTGCGTTGGATTTTGACCCATACAGAGTCCTAGGGGTCAGCCGAACAGCCAGTCAGGCTGATATTAAAAAGGCTTATAAGAAGCTCGCCCGGGAATGGTAGGTGAAACAAAGAAATAGAAGTTTAATAGAAACGAAGCAGTCTTAGCAGGGGAATGAAGCTTAAGTTATGATTAGCTTTTACTTGTCTCTGTTTCTATGTTCTCTATATATGTCTATCTAAAATATTTCATGTAGAACTAATGGTCGTGTTCTGTAATTTTTAATGATAAGATCCAAAGACTATTTACTAAGAAATCCCCCTTTAGGAATACTTTGACTTAAAGAATGACGTCAGATGCTGTTAGCATGTTTAATGTTAAAGTAAGAAGCTTTAATTTCTTTAAAAAATTAGAATCAACAATAGATGGGTTACCTTTCCCACAATATACCAATCATAAAGTAACTCTTTCGGATTTTAACTGTTAAAGCAAACACTGCACAATCCTATTCTCTAGAATAGTTTAAGCTTTAAAAACAGTTTATGGGGGCCAGCAGGTGGCATGGTTAAGGCGCTGGACTCCCACATGGCTGACCTTGGTTTGAGTCCTACTCCTGGTGGCTTGCTCTCTCACTCTCTCTCTGATGGAATGCATGTGCTCCATAGCAAAATTTAAAAGTAATAATACATAAAACTAAATAAATAATTTCTTTAAAAAACAACAACTAAGAAAGTTTAGGGGCCAGCCCATGGCGTGGTGTTTAAGGCAGCTGCATCCCATATGGCCAACTACATGGTTTGAGTCCTGGACCCTGCTGCTTGAGAAATATGTCAGGAGCATGTCTGTATGTGCCCAAAATTCCACGAAAGGGAGAGATGGAGGGAAAGGGGTTTGAGGCATGACCATTCTCCATAGGGGTGCTTTCTCACTCTCCCTCTTTTTGTCTCTCTGACAAGTGAATGTACCCTCTGTCAGAATTAAAATTAAAAAAATATAATAAGAGCCTTTTGTCCTCAATCTAAGAAGAATATTCAGGAACTGAGTATGTTACTAAAAAATAAATATTCATACCAAACTTACAATTTTGGACTAGTATCATAGACTAGCAGTTAAGGGAGTAGGAGCCTACATGGCCAACTGCAGTTCAAATCCTGGCCACAGTGGTTTAAAAAACACACTGGGCACATATGTCTGCATGTCCAAAATTGCAAGAGGGTGGAGGAGTGGAGAAGAGGTTGCAATGTGACTACTCTGCACTGAAGGATGCTTTCTCCCTCTCTGTCTCTCTCTGGCAAGTGCACACACCCTCTGGCAACTTAAAGAAAAAATAGGGACCAACGGGTGGTGTGGAGCTTAGGCACTGGGTCCCACCTGGCCAGCAGCATGGTTTGAGACCAGATCCGGTGACTCGAAAACCATACCTCACATGTGTGTATGTGTGCTCACGATGCCAAGAGGAGACAGGAGAAGGGATTGTGGTACAGCCATCCCCCTTGAGGGGTGATTTGTCACTTTTTCTCTGTCTCCGTCTGGCAAGTGCATGCTAAAAAAAAAAAAAGAAAAATTATAATTTTACCTGTAGTTATCAGGGCAGCAACTGGCAGGATAGCAATAAATCGCACACTTACTTTGAATAAATGTATCAGTTTTTTTCACCAGTGCTTTGGTCATGCCAAAGAAACAAGTTGGAGAGGGAGTAGTAGGAAGAGGAAAACTTAGAAGGGACACAGGTGACTCCATGCTAGCTGGGGACCAGAAGCAGGGCTAGGTACCATTAGTTTTTTTGGACCCAGAAGCAGGGCGGGGCGCCATTAGTGACCAGCCACTTCATACCATCCTGAGTTCTAGGCTGTTCTCCCCACCCCCCGCCCCCAGTTTTGCCCTAAGGTGCTTCTGTTTGCCAGGGAGAGAGAGAGAGAGAAAGAAATCACACCACCCCCACCCCCACCCCACCCCCCCCCCCGTGTGATGGCTACACTGCACTCCTTTCTTCTCCATTCTCCTTTTGGGATACTTTTGGGTATGCAAGCACACGCGCCTGGCTTGTTTTTCAAGCCCACAGGTCCAGACACAAACCGTGCAGTCAGCCCTGTGGGATCCAGCACCTTAACTACCACGCCACCTGCTGGCCGGGTCCTAGGCTTTTTATCTCATTTATACCCTACAGTTAGCCTACCAAGGAGGGTATTGTCCCTATTTTACAGTCGAAAAAGTCGAGGCTCAGAGTTAGGAAATCTGTCTTACCTGCATTCCTTAGTTGGACCTTCTGCACCAGCAGTTACGGTCTTTTTGATTTTTAGTCATTTGCCATTAGTAAGGGAGAGTGGGTCAGTGTCAGCGGGAAGGAGCTGAGTGAGAACAGGAAGTTGTCCAGGAACAAGCTGCACATAAAACTTGACCCTGCCTGACTCTGATTCTTCAATGAGCAGGTACATCTTACTATTAAACTGGTTGCCGTGAAGATAAAATGTAGTTTAATTTGCAATGTTCCAAATAAATGTTATAGACCATATCATGAGGAATCCAGAATCGGATGCTGAAGAGACCACCTAATTTTGCATCTAATCATACCATCTTCTGAGGGACTTTTTATACCAAAGTTGCTTTCTGTGTCATTTCACACTCTTACATTTTTATGTTTAAAGCAGAATATATAAATATCACTCTTACATTTTTATGTTTAAAGCAGAATAAATTAATCTGCAGTTAATTCATAGGTAACACCATTTTTTTACTTATTAATTTAATTTAATTTATTATTATTTTTTAATTTAGCTACAGGGCACATATGGTCACCAGAGAGTGAAAGAGAAAGTGATTAAGTAAGCCACCAAGTCTGGGACTTGAACTACCTTTGGCCATATGGGAGTCTAACACCTTAACTCCCATGCCACCTGCTGGCCCCAATAGCATTCTTTTAGACAAGGTATAATATTCTAAGAGCAGAAATGACAGCTTGAGGATGTGAGGCCTATTAAAATATACAGTTTTGACTTTACTGTCTTCCAGAGCTGAAAATGCTGTTATGATATTAATTAAATGATTCACGTGTTTCTCTTCCTTAATTAGATTCTTTCTAGGACTAACTCATCACTATAGAAATACATAGAGAGTCATTCAGTGAAAGTCTAGATTTTTACTTTACCTTTATAATTCTACCATTCTGTTTTGTTCAGCTTTGGTCATGGCAGTATTTTATCACTCGGGACAGTTAAGTTTCACTTTCTGTTCGTTTTGTCTGCACTGGAAATAGCAGTGATTTCCAGTTTGACCTTTCAGCTTGACCTGTGTCAAGAGGAAGTGGTCCATTGTTAAATGGCATCTACAGCCTTCCTCTGTTATGCTTTGCTAAGGTTTCTTAGCCTTCTCAAGAATTTTCCTTGCTTGGTGAAACCACTGAAAATTTTTTCTCAGGAAAACTATGTTTTTTCTCCCAGTGACTAAGTTTGATCACACGTACTTTTTCTTGTTATTCACAAGCAAGATAAACTCCTACCCCAAGAAAAGCAAATTAGTCTAACATTGTTTAATCAACTGAGCAGTAAATTAATTTGTCTAATTCTTTTTAGTCTTTGCTATAGTGTTCTTGTGCTTATCAGACAGAGAGTGAAATGGAAAGTGAGAAGTCACCCCACCAGGGGCATGGCCACACAGCAGTCCCTTCTACATTCTCTCAGGATTTGGGGCATGCACACACATGTGCCATTTTCAAGCCACTGCGCCTGGGATTTGAACTACACAGCTTCAGCTTTGGTCATGGCAGTATTTTATCACTCGGGACAGTTAAGTTTCACTTTCTGTTCGTTTTGTCTGCACTGGAAATAGCAGTGATTTCCAGTTTGACCTTTCAGCTTGACCTGTGTCAAGAGGAAGTGGTCCATTGTTAAATGGCATCTACAGCCTTCCTCTGTTATGCTTTGCTAAGGTTTCTTAGCCTTCTCAAGAATTTTCCTTGCTTGGTGAAACCACTGAAAATTTTTTCTCAGGAAAACTATGTTTTTTCTCCCAGTGACTAAGTTTGATCACACGTACTTTTTCTTGTTATTCACAAGCAAGATAAACTCCTACCCCAAGAAAAGCAAATTAGTCTAACATTGTTTAATCAACTGAGCAGTAAATTAATTTGTCTAATTCTTTTTAGTCTTTGCTATAGTGTTCTTGTGCTTATCAGACAGAGAGTGAAATGGAAAGTGAGAAGTCACCCCACCAGGGGCATGGCCACACAGCAGTCCCTTCTACATTCTCTCAGGATTTGGGGCATGCACACACATGTGCCATTTTCAAGCCACTGCGCCTGGGATTTGAACTACACAGCCATGTAGGATCCAGCACCTTAACCTCCACGCCACCTGCTGGCCCTAATTTGTCTAATTCTTGGCTATGTTAATTTTATTTCCTGAGAGGTAACTAGACAACCAGTAGATACCAAGTAAAATATTCTGTTGTTGGAAAAATCGTGACACATTTTTCTATGTTTCTCTAGGCAGAAATGCATCATGACTTTTCCAGTGACCCAGTATTTTCTTAATTTTCAAATGACCCTGCGTGTGTGTGTGTGTGTGTGCGCCCAAAATCCCAAGAGAAGACTAGAGGGGGGATTACAGTGTGGCCACCCCACCCCCAGACCCCCAAGGATGATTTTTAATTTTCCTCTTTCTTTCTCTGGCTAGTACAAGCGCCCTATAGCAAAAGTAAATATGTAGCATTAGACTATACTTTCCTTGGGCCAAATTTATCCTTTCCTAAATGTTTTCAGCTTTGTGGTACCCTCCCACGATTGGGAAATTCCTTATAAGCGGAAACTGTCCTGTATCAATAGCTTCCTCCTTTTCTTGAGCTTGACTTCCTCTGGTTCAGGATTTGTTTTTCTAACCCAGCTGCCTTTGAGACTCTCTTTGGTTCATTTTCCTAAAGAGCTTTTTCCTACCTTCTTCTCCTCCAGAGTTCTATATGTTAAATCTTCATTTGTATGATTGTGTGATTTTTATCCACTCAGCCTTCAGCTTAAGTTTGAATATTTAAAACTTTCTTCTTTTGTCATCTGGACACATGCTTTGGAATCACCATCTTGTTTTGTTAGATCGTACTGTTTTTAGTATACCTAGCTGAGATTTTCCCCCCACTAACGTTCATAGCACCAATGAAATGGTTAAGGGGAGAATGATGTCTAAATTCAACAGTCAATCATTAAAGCTTCCTTATTTTTAGAGACATCAGAATATGATTTTAAATATCTGCCTGATAGAATAAGTTAGTCAAACTTTTTTTAAAAAAATATGTTCCAATGTACTTGGTGTGTTTTTAGAGACCCTTGCTTCTCAGAGGATGTTCCACGCGCCCTATAGCAAAAACCTCTCAAAAAAAAAAAAAAATCTTTGCTAGAGGGATCAGCAGTTAGCATAACTTTTTTTTTTTTTTTAAGAATTACTTTATTTGGGGGGACCAGCAGTTAGTGTAATGGCTATGTCGCCAGACTCCCACGTAGTCGACCGAGGTTCGTGTCCCAGACCTGGTGGCTTAAACTCACACCAGGAGCGTGTGCGTGTGTGCCCAAGATCCCTAGAAGAGAATGGAGGAGAAGGGATTGCGGTGTGGCCATCCCCCCTTGGGGGTGATTTCTCGCTTTCTGTCTCTCTGTCTCTCTTGCAAGTGCACACGCCCTGTAGCAAAAACCTCTTCAAAAAGAAAGAAAGAAAAAAAAGAATTACTTTATTTGGGACCAGCAGTTAGCGTAATGGCTATGTTACTGGACTCCTATGTAGTCGACTACGGTTCGTGTCCTAGACCCGGTGGCTTAAACTCACATTGGTAGTATGTGCATGTGTGCCCAAGATCCTAAGAGGAGAATGGAGAAGGGGTTGCAGTGTGGCCATCCTCCCAGGGGGTGATTTCTTGCTTTCTGTCTTTGTCTTTCTGGCGAATGTATGCACACTATAGCAAAAACCTCTCAAAAAAATTATTTAAACTTTATTTATTCATTTTAATTTGATTAGAGTGGCACAGAGCAAGAGAGAAAATAAGAAAGCAAACTACCAGGTTGGGGACTCAAACCACAGTCATCCATGTGAGTGGGAGTCCAATACCCTTAATGCCACCTGCCAACCCTACTAAATATTTAGTTCTGATAGTAGGTTGAGGTAACTTTGCATGGCTGAAAACTTTTTTTCATACCTTAAACATATGTCCTTTAATCTTCTGTATCCATTTATAGGTAGAAAGCTATCAACAGCAGAATGGGATAACCGGAGTAATAGTGAAGACTAAAATGTGCTAGTTTGAAAGTCAGCAGCAAGATACTATTTGAAACATGATTGTTACTAAACAAATTCATGTTACATCCTAAAAGCTAAAAGCTGTTTTTTATGTCTACATGTGTAGTCAGAAGAAACAGCTACATCAATATAATTCTCCTGTTGGGGACCAGCAGTTGGCATAATGGCTATGTTACTGGACTCCCATGTAGTTGACCACAGTTCGAGTCCCGGACCTAGTAGCTTAAACTCACACTGGGTGTGTGTGCATGTGTGCCCAAGATCTCAAGAGGAGAATGGAGGAGAAGGGATTGCGGTGTGGCCATCTCCCCTGGGGGCTGATTTCTCACTTTCTATCTCGGTGTCTCTCTCTTTCTGGTGAGCACACATGCCCTATAGCAAAAGCCTCTCAAAATAAATAAATAAATAAAATATATATATATAATTCCTGTTGGGGTGAGATGCTGCCATCCTGGTGAAAGGCAGGGATTCTGATGTCTGTTCTTATGGATAAGTGATTTAGCCTTGCACCACTGGAACAGTGTTTGAGAGTGATCTAAGATGTGCCTATTCCACCTTCCCTGGTGAAATATTACAGTCTTATCCGGGGTTTTGAAAATGTGCCCATCTGGAGTAGGTCGAGAAGAAATCACCAGTCTCAAGGTGTCATCTGTTGTGGTCATGCAAAACAATCAACTGAGCCTACCGTTTATTCTTTCAAAACTGTCCAAACAGAATAACCATTCATTTGCCTCTGATGTAGTGAACTGTGTATTTAAAGATGTTAAATGATCACAAATGAAAAATCAAACCCATTCTCACTGGCTGCCCACTTGTGTTTCAGGCATCCTGACAAAAACAAAGATCCTGGCGCAGAAGACAAGTTCATTCAGATCAGCAAAGCTTATGAGGTACAGAGTCAAATGGCGACGCATCCATTAGCACTTGTAAAATAGGCCTTAGGTGATCAGTTTTATAAAGTTCTCTCAGAAAGAGCGTGTTCCCCAGGCCCTTGACCCAGTTTCTAGATGATGGTAAAGAGAGCATATTTGTCCACATCTACTATGTTGAAACAAGGGCCTCAGCACTTTAGCTCTTGGAAAAAACTGGCCTATTTTAAAGGCTTTAATTAGAATTGTAGAATTACCCTAAATATATGTTTGTATTGCCTTATTAGAAACTTACATTAAAGAATCACACAATAATTTGCCTGCATTTATTAAAGTGACATAGGGTTATAAATTCATTTAAACACAGCTATTCAGTAATTTTCCAACATGTCAGCTTAAGAAGGTTGTTCTAGAATGTGCATAAAAGATAAGTCCATGGCTTTCTGATTTGTATAGAGTAATACTTGTCAACAGACAAGGCTTAGTTCATAGAATGACATATCATGCTAAAATAGATGGTTGAATTTTAGATTAAAAAGTTATTTTTAAATAAAGCAAAGTCAGCCGACATTTACAAAGTGCCAGACTCAAGTTGGTGGCTACTTTTTGGTGTTCACATTTTTCATGTTTTATATGACCTTGTCAGTTTTCTTGTGATTGAGCACCGGTAATCAACATTATGTTACGTTAGTTAGTTAGTTAGTTAATCTATTTAATTATTTATTTATTTTAGGTTTTTGATATAGGGGCTGGAAAGATAGAGAGATGGAGAAAGGGAAAGTGAGAAATCACCTTCAGGGGGATGTTTATGTCACAGTCCCTTCTCCTCCATCCTCCTCTTGGGATTTTGGGCATGCATACACACGTGTCTGCTGTGATTTTTAGCTGCCGGGTTCAGGACTGGAACCATCAGCAGTCATGTGGGAATTCAGCGCCTCAACCACTATGCCACTTGCTGGCCCCAATTATGTTGAGTTTTATTTGTTTTATTGAAGTGTTTAGTTTTATATTAGCTCAGTTTTGTTTTTTTGCTTTTTGCTTTTTTGCTATGGGGCACATGCACTCACCAGAGAGAGCGCGTGAAAAAGTGAATTTGAGAAAGCACCCCCTAGAGGGGATGACCACACTGCTACCTTTGCCTTCTCCATCATCCTCTCAGGCTTTTGGGCATGCACATACATACACCCAGCGTGTAAGCTGTTGGGCATAGGACTCAAACCACATGGTCAGCCGTGTAAGATCCAGCCACCTCAACTACCATGCCACCAACTGGCCTGCCCAAAATCTTTAATGCCGAGATAAACATGAGCATCTAAACAACTATTTGGTATAGAGTTTTTAAAAATATTTCTCATGAGAGACATTTCTCAGAATGTTAAATGACTGCTTTTAGAATAGCTAAGCATGGGGAGGGACCAGCAGATGGCATAATGGCTATGTCACTGGATTCCCATGTGGTCTACCATAGTTCAAGTCCCAGACCCGGTGGCTTAAACTCACGCTGGGTGCGTGTGCGTGCGTGCCCAAGATCCTGAGAGAATGGAGGAGAAGGGATTGCAGCGTGGCCATCCCACCAGGGGGTGATGTCTCACTTTCTGTCTCTCTGTCCCTCTCTCTCTGTCTTTCTGGCAAGCACATGCACCTTATAGCAAAAAAACCTTTCCCTCAAAAAAGAATCTAATCATGGGGGCCATAGGTGGTGTGGTGGCTAAAGGCTCTGGACTCCCACATGACTGATCACTGTTCAAATCCCAGACCTGCCAGCTTGTCTCTGTCTCTCTCTCTCTCTCTCTCTCTATCTTTTTCACTCTGTCCCTTTCTGCTCAAATTAACCCTCCCCCCCGCCCTGGGTGATTTGTTTTCTGTCTCTCTGTCTCTCTCTGGTGAGCACATATGCCCTATAGCAAAAATCTCTTTTAAAAAAATTATAAAAATAAAGACTGTGTGCTTCCCATTGAACTTTTTCTCCAGTTTGTGTACTAACTGCATTTCAATTTTCTGGAAGGATTTCAGTTGAGGGACAGAAACAAAGATTATGATAGCTTTACGACCACCGCCAACTTCAGTTTCTGGCAGCTTGCTTTCTCACTTTCCTGCTCTATCTATGTGTCTCATCGAATTAAAATAATAATAGTAGTAAAACTGAGAGATGCCTGACTCGAACTTGTCTGGCTTCTTGCCATTTGTCTTCATGATCTTGGCTCTCAAGCTGAACAAGCCTGCTCATGGCATCCTGACAAAAACAAAGATCCTGGCGCAGAAGACAAGTTCATTCAGATCAGCAAAGCTTATGAGATTCTTTCCAATAAAGAAAAGAGACCAAATTATGATCGCTATGGAGATGTTGGCGAGAACACAGGCCACTAGAAGCAGCAGCAGCAGCAGCGAGAATATCGCTTCCGCCATTTTCATGAAAATTTTTATTTCAATATAAAATGAAATAAATAATTATTTTAAAAGAATATCTAATCATGTCATAATCTCTACATTTATTTTTTTTCCACATATCTTCAAAGCTGCATGCAGAAAAGTCTTTGGAGTGAGCTTTTTTTGTTTAGATTTATTTTTTTGTCTTTATAGATTCTTTCCAATGAGGAAAAGAGATCAAATTATGATCGCTATGGAGATGTTGGCGAGAACCCAGGCCACCAGAAGCAGCAGCAGCCGCGAGAATATCGCTTCCGTCATTTTCATGAAAATTTTTATTTCGATCTTTTTTTCACTTCCCTTTTAATTCTGAGCGGCGGGACTCAATTGATGAAAAGTATTTATTGCACTTTTCACATTATGTGAATGAAGTGGTTCCAGATAGCTTCAAGAAACCCTACCTCATTAAGATCACCTCAGATTGGTGCTTTAGCTGTATCCATATTGAGCCTGTTTGGAAAGAAGTGGTTCAAGAACTAGAAGGATTGGGTAAGATCTCTTTGTTCATTGAAAGATGTTTGTGCAAGAGAAGGTGACTTTTATATCTCTCCAAGTTTGTGGGGTATTGAGGCAAACGAGCAATTCATGTGATTTCTCCTCACAAGCTCTTCGTGATTGGCATTTTCCGGGAACACCTTTTCAGAGAAGGAAGTGTATAAGGTACTTTCGTTATGCCTTACTGCTTTGAACCTTTATCTCTAAAGTCTCCTAACATCTAGCTGGGGGCATAATACATAGAAGAAACTTAAAAGTTGTTGTCTAGGGACCAGCAGTTAGCGTAATGGCTATGTTGCTGGACTCCCATGTAGTCGACCGCGATTCGAGTCCCAGACTCATGCCGGGTGCATGTGCGTGTCCACCCAAGATCCCAAGAGGAGAATGGAGGAGAAGGGATTGCAGTGTGGCCATCCCCCCTGGGGGGTGATTTCTCGCATTCTGTCTCTCTGTGTCTGTCTTTCTTGCGAGTGCATATGCCCTATAGCAAAAACTTCTCCAAAAAAAAATTGTTGTCTGAAAAAAGTAACCCTGCCTGTGGGGTTTGCAGACTACTTGTACTCCTGAGTTCACTCTGTATTTGTTTGCTAGGTTGCCGTAACAAAATACCACATACTAGGTGGCTTAACCAACTGAGGTTTATTTTCTCACAGTTGCAGAGATTGGAAGTCCCAGATAGGGGCCAGCAAGTGGCGTGATAACTGGGGCTCTGGACTCCCACCTACCCAACTACAGTTCGGCTCCCTGATTTGGCAGCTTAAAAATCACTCCAGGCGTGTGTGCACGCGTGCCCAAATCCCAGAAGAGGGGAGGAGAAGGGATTGGGGCATGGCCACCGCCACTGGGGGATAATTCCTCATTTTCCCTCTCACTACTTCTCTTTCTCTCTTCAGCAAGTACATGTAACCTATGAAAAAAAAAACAAAACCAAAGTCTAAGATCAAAAGGTCAGTAGGTTTGGTTTCTTCTGAGGCCTTCTTCTTGGCACATGGTCATCTTTCCACTTGCTCATGTTGGTGTCTCTTTCTGTATCCTTACTCTCAAAGGACATCAGTTACGTTGAGTTAGGACCCCCTCTGACAACCCCACTTTAGCCTAGTTTTTTTTTTTTTTTCAAGAATTATTTAATTTTATTTATTATTATTTGATTTGCTATATAGTACATGCACTCACCAGAGAGAGAGTGAGAAAGTTAGTCCCCAGGTCCAGGACTCAAACCACAGTATAAGCTCTGTGGGAGTCCAGTGCCTTAACCATCATGCTACCTGGTGGCCCCAGCCTACTTCTTTAAAAGTCCTGCCTTAGTGCATAACAAAATACCATAAACTCAGTGGCTTGAACACAAACATTTGTTTCTTACAGTTCTGAAAGCTGAAAAGCCAAGATCAGGGTGCCAGCGTGGCCAGGTTCTTGTGAGGGCCCAATCCCTGGCTCACAAGCAGCCATCTCACTCTGTCCTCACATGCCATGGGCCTCTTCTTCTTGGGTCACTAATCCCATCATGAAGGTGTTACCCTCATGACCTAATTCCCTCCCAAAGGCCATCTCCAAGTAACATGACATCGAGAGTCAGGGTTTCAGCATATGTGTTTTGTGGGGATGCCAGTGGTCCGTGACACTCTGTAGTGGCCTTGGGGTACCACTTTCCATCACAGATTAGCCTTGCCCTCACTGTACTTACCATCTCATTCCAGGAAAATTTTAGTGACCTGTGGAGGATATTTATTTGAATGACTCTGAAAAGTAGGAACTACTGGGACCAGCAGTTGGTGTAATGGCTGTGTCGCTGGACTCCCATGTAGTTGACCGTGGTTCGCATCCCGGACCCGGTAGCTTAAAACTCACGCCGGGTGCGTGTGTTTGCGTGCCCAGGATCCTGAGAGGAGAACAGAGGAGAAGGGATTGCGGCGTGGCCATCCCCCCTGGGGGGTGATTTCTCGCTTTCTGTCTCTCTGTCTCTCTCTGTCTGTCTGGCGAGCGTACGCGCCCTATAGCAAAAACCCCTCCAAAAAAAAAAAAAAGTAGGAACTACTGAATAAATGTGTATGCCTTTCATAAATGTTTGCAGACCTATTCTGGAGTCATTAAAAAGGAACAAACTCAACCTTAGGGGCTGAGGGGACCTGGATTTTACTGGAGAAAGTATATGACCAGATAGCATTGGTTTATTTATTCTAAAATAGAAATTTTCACCCTATGGTTAAGAAACACTCGGGTACTGAGATTTGGAAAGATGTTTTTCTGAGACTGGTTCCGAGAAGAAAAAGAAGGGATAAGTTTAGCATAATGTGTAATGTATGGTAGACAGACGTGTGCTATTGGTGCATACGAATGCATGAGAACTTGAAAAGCGTGATTGCATTTCGTGCCATGCAAGGTGATATACTGAAAACTATGTAGTCTATGAGCTAGCACTGAAGCCCAGTAGCAGAACATAAACAGTAAACCGTTGCATGATTGAGGATAGTAATACATCTTCGCCAAAGTCAGGGCAAGACCAAAAAGACTTTTTTATAAAGAATTTTTAAATTTAACTTTATTTTATTTATTTATTTATTTAAATTTTACTAGAGAGGGACAGATTGTGTGTGTGTGTGTGTGTGTGTGTGTGGGAGAGAGAGAGAGAGAGAGAGAGAGCGAGAAAGCAAGCCACCAGGTCTGGGACTCAATAGTCAGCCATGTGGAAGTGTCTAGTGTCTTAACCACCATGCCACCCACTGGTCCCCCAAAAGGATATCTTAAACATGCCAGGCAGATATACGAGGGGTGAGGTAGAATAGCATAGTGGTGATGACCATGGGCTTTGGGGTCAAGGAGACCAGTGTTCATGTCTCTGCTCTGTCATTTACTGCCTTTGCATCTTTTCAACAAATTACTTATACCAAGTTTCTGCATCTCTAAAATGGATCTAATAATGTCAAACCAGCAATGTCATCATGAAGAGTAAATGAAATTTATAAAAAGTGTTGTAATAGGGACCAGCAGTTAGTGTAATGGCTGTGTCGCTGGACTCCCATGTAGTCGACCGCGGTTCAAGTCCCAGACCCAGTGGCTTAAACTCACGCCGGGCACGTGTGCGTATGTGCCCAAGATCCTGAGAGGAAAAAAAAGTGTTGTAATAAATGAACCTTCGAGAATTTCTGATTAATTGGATTTTATGGCATACGAAAGTAAATTTTTTCTAACCATCTGTTTTATAAACCCCCTTTTAAAAAAAAAGTTATTTTGGGGGGGCCAGCAGGTGGTGTGGTGGTAAGATGCTGAATACTTCCACATGGTCGACCATGGTTTGAATTCCGGACCTGGTAGTTTGCTTTCTCATTTTCCCTCTTTCTCTCTCTGTGGCTCTTTCTGTTCAAATTAAAAATGAATGAACAAATAAAATTAAGTAAATAATTATTTTATTATTCTTTTATTTATTTAACTTTATTTATTGTCATTTTTTTTTTGAGAGGTTTTTGCTATAGGGCGCATGCGCTCACCAGACAGACGAGAGACAGAACGCGAGAAATTACCCCCCAAGGGGGATGGCCACACTGCAGTCCCTTCTCCTCCATTCTCCTCTCGGGATCTTGGGCATGCACGCACATGTGCATGGCGTGAGTTTAAGCCACCGGGTCCGGGACTCGAACCGCAGTCGACTACATGGGAGTCCAGCGACATAACCATTACACCAACGGCTGGTCTCTTATTTTTTAATTTTTTAATTAATTTTTTTTTGAAGTTGACCAGAGAGAGAGAGAAGGGAGGTGAGAAAGCAAGGTCCAGGACTCACATGGTCAGCCATGTGGGAGTAAACCACCACGCCACCTGCCAGCCCCATAAACTCCTTTTGAAAGTCTTTTCTTAAACATACTCGTCTCCTTTTTTTAACTCACTGAGAAGCACTGACTATTGATTTTCTTTTATTATTATTACTTAATTTTTTTTTTATGTATTTCCTTTCCTGATTTACTTTGACCCAACCTTTGAGTGGTAATCAGAAGTTGGCTAGACAGGAAACAAAGGAGAAGGAGCAGTGAAAGCGAATCCCCTGTCTCCCAAATTCCCTGGAAGACAGGCTGTTACTATACTATATGAATGCAGGTGGTTTGTTTATAGACCGTTTTCCTCTGTGGAGTCTACAGACAGCAGTGGACGTGACAGTGGACGTGACAGTGTGGGCTATGTGGGGGAGAGAGGAGAGTGGGCACGGGAAGAGCAAGCCGAAAACCAGCCAGGAAGGCACTTCAGAGGCCAGGCTGGGGAACTGGGGCATAACGGGTTTTACATGAAGAAATGAGCTAATCAGATCAACCCTCCAGAAAGCTGACGAGCGACATAGCCTGAAGGACCGATCGAAGAAGGGGAGAATAGAGGCAGGGAGGTGAGCAGTCCTGGCAAGAGAGCGGCCATTGGCCTGTACTGGGTGGCAGGAATGGAGAGAGGTAAACAGGTGTCAGGCGTTTCAGGGAGAGCACTGGGGAGGCCTGTGGGGGTCTAGCTCCTTGAACTATTTGAATGTGAGAAATAAGGAAGAGAAGGGGAGTCAAGATTGACTGTGGTGGATTCCCGTATGGCTGGCTGCAGTTCAAGGGTCTGACCTGGTAGCTTGAAAATCACACCAGGCTCATGTACATGCATGCTCAAAATTCCAAAAGGAGAATGGAGGAGAAGGGATTGTGACATGGCCATCTCCTCACCCCGTGGGTGGTGATTTCTCACTTTCCCCCTCTATCTGTCTCTGGCGAACACACATGCAAAAAGATTGACTCCATATTCTTTTTTTTTTCCCTCTATTCATTCCTTCTTTCATGCCTTTCTTCTTTCCTTCCTTTTTTTCCAGAGAGGGATAGAGTGAGAAAGAGAGAAAATGAGAAAGCAAGCTGCCAGGTCCAGGACTTGAACCATGGTCAGCCATGTGGGAGTCCAGTATCCTTAACCACCACACCACCTGCCAGCCCCTTGACTCTGTATTCTGATTTGAGCTACTGGGTAGACAGGAAATATAGTAG